TTGATAAAAATTTTGGTAGAACTTTTGGAGTCTCTAGCATTACTCTTACCAGAAAGCAAGTGTGATTTATGAGTATGGGTGAGGGACCTTATGCTACAAAAAAAATATTGTGGACTTTTCTTATTTCTAAAAGTTAGAAAGGAATATTAGACTAAATATCTTTTATTTTATTTTATTTTATTCATGAATGGATACTAAATAATTTAAAGAATTGTTTGAATTTAAGTTATTAACAAAATCAATAGTCTTGGTTTTCTTAACAATTGTTTAATTTAAATCATAGAAATAAGGGTATGCACTTTATTATCTTTTATGATTTTATAATTTATCATGTAATTAAATATTATAAATATTAATATTTTATAAATGTGTGAGTTGCGCTGGACAAGGCTAACTTTCTATCATAATATCCACACAAAAAAGGATAATTTACCAACACCTCCTTGAAATTTGACTAAGATACGGATTCTACCATGAGGTTTAGAAAAGAGTTCAGCTTATCTCAAGTTGAGATCAAGACTGGATCCGTTCAATTCGGCCCATGGGGTCCATTTTTTGGGCCTGTTTTAATAATCCGAACCGTTCAATGTGTAGAATTCGTCGAGTACTACATGGTTCTAAAAAATCACGTTGATCAAATATCAATAACTATGTGATCAAATCAGTTTTGTATAAAAAGAAATGGACGGTGAAACAATTAACAGTTGATAAAAATTGTTTTGTTCACATAGCTATCGATATCCGATCAATGTGATTTTTTACAGGCCTATAGTACTCGACGAGTTCTATACATTGAATGGTTCGGATTATCAAAACGGACCCATGGTGGGCCTCCACGGGCCCAACAGCATGGTCCAGTCCGATCTTGGACTGGACCGAAGCCACTGCCTTTAGAAAATTACAAATTGTCTCTTGAGGTTTATATTTGCATAACAAATTAATGAGGGGATAATTTGTTATGCATATTAGAAGTGGGCAACTGTTTATCCGAACCGCTCAAACCGCCCAATCCGCATATAAATGTGCGGTTTCGCAAACATAATACGGGCAAATGCGGTTTGAAATATGACAAATTTGCTGGTTGCAGGCGGGTCGCGGGTTAAACCCGAAACCCGTAAAAACCGTCCACACTTTAATTATTATTATTATTATTATTTATATACCAACTTTGTAACTTTAACAGGAGCACCATTATGTTCTCTACGACACTAAGATCCTTATTTTTAAGTATTTCTTAACTTTCTTAATGTCGTAGAATTATCAAGTTCTAAACTTGGTTTCTTATATGATTTTCATTGGTGGCTCATTCACTTTTTCCTAATAAAATTTTCCTTCTGGTGGTCGATGGAGCTTCTAGTTTGATTATTGATTACTAAACTGGCAATTCTAATTGAGTACAACCTTTAATGCATTGATATATATTTTTTTCATGGCAAAAATACTAGTGTAGGGTCTCTTTGTTTTGGATACTTTCATTTAATGCATTAATATTCAATTTTTATTTGTAAACTCATCAGAAAATTGTTATCAAATGATCACAAATATATAAAATGAATTTGATACCTAAATTTGATGGGAAAAAAAAACTCAAAAATTAATTTTTAAAGAAAAAAGTGTAAACCGCAAACCGCCCGCACATCTGCAAACCCTATCCGCACAAATCGAAAACCGCATTGCGGGCGGTTGCGGGTTGACTTTTTCCTAAACCGCATAGATGTGGGCGGGTCAAAACCGAACCGCAAACTGCACAAAACCGATCTGCGAGCACCCCTATTGCAAATATAAACCTCATGGGACAATTTGTTATGCAAATATAAATCTCAGGAGGCGGGATGTAATTTCTCAAACCTCAGGGGGGAATTCGTATTTTAGTCAAATCTCGAAGGGGTGTTGATAATTTGCCCAAAAAAAATTAAACAGACTCAAATCCCAACTCATTTCCATCTAGACAACCATAATATCAAACTTAACACAGATAGAGCAACAAAAATAAACCTAGGAAACACAGATAGAACGACAAAACAAAACCTAGGAAGAGCAAGTGGAGGAGACATTTTCAAAGATAGTTCAGACAATTGGTTTATGGGTTGTTGCAAATTCATTGGCTTTACTTATGGCATAGAAGCCGAGCTTTGGACATTGAGAAATGGACTAAGGATATTTGTCAATAAAAATTTCCCAGACCTTGGTATAGAAACCGATTCGCATTTGATGAAACATTTACTTTCGAACAAGGTTGATAATCGTCACCACCTCAATAATTTCATTTTTGATTGCAAGTACTTCATGGATAGAATAGAAGTTTAAACTCCTAGCTATTGTACAAATTGTGTAACTAAACAAAAAAAAATTAGATTCATGTTTAATAAATTAAATTAAAGAATAAGAAGTCATGCTGAAAATTACAATTAGATGAATAAAAATACATAACAAGACAAGAAAAGAAAGCAAATTGAAATTTGTGTGATATCACAATCTCTTTAAAATAGATTTGCTGCCTCACCGTGGGTGTTGAAGGTATGTCGGTATCTGTCTCCCAATATACAACGGTTAAAACTTGCTAATGTAAAAGTACCTTCTGTTTAGTTTCGGCGAACCAACAATGTCAATACTCTCTCACACAGGAAGAAGAATATAGGAGCAGATTGATTGTTAATATAGACAATTAAAACTCACTAATGCAGAAATGCCTTATATTTAGCTCCAGCGAACCAACAATGGCAGCACTTTCTCATACAGGAAGAAGAATATAGCAGCAGACTGATTATATAATATGTAAGCCAAAAATTTTGTGTAGAAATCAAGGAATATGGCCTCATTTTATACACAATGGAAGAGAGAGGAGGAGTCTCCTAGCCATGAAGTCTAGCAACAAATACAGTCAATTACTCTTGCAAAACTGATGGAAAATAAGTGTGTGAGTTGCACACTCTATATACACATGTGTGTATATTTGTAACCACTAAACAGACCTGACACAAAAAGATTAGGTTGATGGGCCACCAATCCGGCCCAATTCAAACCTAACCCATTCCAGCAAGCCTCAAGCCCAAATTCCAAGATCTACAACCTACGGATCTTGGACCTAGGCAAGCGACACACGTGTGTTAATTTTTGCATAACCAACTTGGACCATAGTTTTGGCCCAAACCTATGTCCCAAGATCTATGACCTACGGATATTGAACCCAAGCAGGTAGAGTGTGTGTGACAATTTTTGCATAACTAACTTAAACCATAGTTTTTGCCAAAATCCATCCTTAAAGTATTAGTAACTCCTTTTTTTCAGAAAATTTAGATGTCCCAAAGGACTCATGCCCTTATCAAAATCTTGAGATTTAAATACCCATCAAAGTTTTCCTCTTCAATCAATGTGAGATTGGTGGTTATACACAATTCTCAATACCTCATTCATGAGGTCAATTTTATGAGATAATTTCTCATTCAATTCTTAATAATTTTTTATTATTCTTTTTAGGGTATAAAAATTTTGTTACAAATCATCTAAACCCATTTGATCCCACATTTTTTTTTTTAGGTACAACAGAAAATACAAACAAACTAGGACCTCTCCCTAGAGAGGCCGATCATATCAGCAACAAGATAACATTGAATTTCCTGTGGTGGATCATTAACCACTAAGATATCTTCAGGTTGCTCCGCTCCAAATTTGGCCAAGGCATCCGCACACAAGTTCCCCTCTTTATAGATGTGGTGGATGGTGCATTCACATCCTCTGAAAATTATTTTTGCATCCTCCAACAGTCTCTTAAAAGGGAATTTATCATCTATGGCATCCTCCATCAGCTGCACAACTTGTTTAGCATCAGTCTCAATGATCACCTCGTGCATACCCTTCTGGAGCATCACTGTCAATTCTTTGTAGAGAGCCCACAGTTCCGCCTCCAAGCTTGTTCCACTGTCCAGCCTTCCATAGTAGCCACACACCCAAGCGCCGCGTTCATCTCTGAAAACTCCGCCAAAATCACCTCCACCTCCAGCTTCCTACTGCCATCAACATTTAGTTTTATTTTACCTGCAAGAGGTAACATCCACTGTATCGATCTAAAAGCAAGCCTAGGATTAATAATGGACAAATTGAAAGCCAAATCAATATCTCTTGAGTAGTCAAGAATGAATTTAACACTATCCATGCCATTACACAACTTTTTTTCAATAACAAAAACATTTCTATTTTTCCAAATTTTTCATAAAGTGATAATGAAGACAGAAGACCAAGTAGCCTGCTCATTAAAAGGCTTTTTATTCTTGGAATTAGACAAAAGCCAATCCTTCCAAGATAAGCTAACCATGTTTCTGCACCAGGTTCAGCCACATAAGGCCAGCCATTTGATCCCACATTGGACCTACTTTAATTTCACATTGAAATCACCATAAAATTATTTTTTTTCTAACATTAGCCAATTCTAGTTACTGTACTAATGATTTACAGATTTTCCTAGATGGCCTTCATTGATGCTGTATGGGCCATGACTATTTACCTGCAATATATAGGCCTCTTTTTTGAAGTAAATTAAATTTCACTTCCTAACTTTTAATTAATTTTGAATTATATTACTTTTCATATTTTTTTTTTAAAAAAAAGACAAAAAATAAATTTTTAACTATCTTTCCAAAGCATTCATAATATATTTGCTGCTATTTTAACCAAAAAAAAATAAAATAAAAATAAAAATGTTATATTTGATCATTTAATTATAAAGTACATTACATTTTACCTTAAAAAACAAATATTTGTATAAGGGGTTGTTTAGAATGTCCTAAATAAATGTATTTTTTATCTTTTTAAACTAAAAAATTAAGGAAAAAAATATAATTATTTGAGTTAACTTTTTAATTTTTTATGAAAAAATATGTATTAAAAAATTATATAAATTAATATGTAAAAAAAAATTAAGATTAAAAATTATACAAGATTTTTAATTTTTAGTAAATAGTGATAATTTTAAACTTTTTGACTTGATGACTCTGGGCAACTTCCCAGTGAACGGTAGAATAGCGTAAAGAGAGAGAGAGAGAGAGAGAGAGAGAGAGCGCTCTGCTATAACCAGGTTGTGTTCGTTTACTCAAAAATTAGGGTTTCGAATTAAACCCTAAAACACTCTCTTTCACGAACAGTCGATTCTCTCACAATGGAGAGTGCCTTTGCTTCTGCATCTGCGATTACTGATCAGAGGCAAAAGATCGAACAGTACAAACTCATCCTCTCCACAGTTATCGCTTCCAACGATGTTTCACAAGCCAAGAAATTCATCGACCATGGTTACTCTCTTATTGATTTTTGTTTGGTGTTTATTTTTTATCTTTTTAGACTAAAAAATTGAAGAAAAAAATATAATTATTTGAGTTAACTTTTTAAATTTTTATAAAAAAATATGTATTAAAAAATTATATAAATTAACATGTAAAAAAAAATTAAGATTAAAAATTATACAATCATAATTTTTAATTTATAGTAAATGGTGATAATTTTAAACTTTTTGACTTGATGACTCTGGGCAACTTCCCAGTGAACGGTAGAATAGCGTAAAGAGAGAGAGAGAGAGAGAGAGAGAGAGAGCGCTCTGCTATAACCAGGTTGTGTTCGTTTACTCAAAAATTAGGGTTTCGAATTAAACCCTAAAACACTCTCTTTCACGAACAGTCGATTCTCTCACAATGGAGAGTGCCTTTGCTTCTGCATCTGCGATTACTGATCAGAGGCAAAAGATCGAACAGTACAAACTCATCCTCTCCACAGTTATCGCTTCCAACGATGTTTCACAAGCCAAGAAATTCATCGACCATGGTTACTCTCTTATTGATTTTTGTTTGGTGTTGTTTTCTTTGAAATTGAATTGTTGATTGAGATTTTGGGTTTTTGTTTGGATCCAGTGTTGTCAGATGATGTTCCATTGGTGGTATCACGACAGCTTTTGCAGACATTTGCACAGGAATTGGGGAGGTTGGAGCCGGAGGCACAAAAGGAAATTGGACATTATATTCTTAACCAGATTCAGCCTAGGGTTGTGTCATTCGAAGAACAGGTCAATTTCAAGTACCCTTTTTATCTCATCAGTTTAGTACATACAGTTTGTTGGCTTGAGAATGGTTGATTTTGATGGGTGCATTGAATTATTCTTTTGTGTGATTGTGCTTGACATACTTGTATGGTTTCAGAACAACCCACATGATCTAAATTGGACAAATATTTTTTATATAGATACACACTATGGGTTTGTTACAGTTTTGTTATCAAGTCATTGGATTTCAGTTCAGTCCATGTTTTGAAAAATTATTACAAGTGGTCAACTTTATAAATATTGATAATTAAAACTGCAGACTTTTCCATGAATCTGTAATAAGTTTTGCAGATTACCACTGAAAGGTAAATTTCCCAAAAGAAGAAGAAGAAGAAGAAGAAAGTGGTTTTTGGCTTTATACATTCATACGAGGAACAGCAAACCAATAGATGGTTGCAAAGAAAATGGTGTTTTTCAAAGTTTTAGTTTTAGCTTTATTATTATTATTTGTGTACATGCATTTATCTGCAAAATTTGTGTATTAAGTAGCAATTATAGGTTTGATTATCTTACATATGATCAAAATGACATATTATCTATATATTTTGTTGATCAAGTTCTGTAATCTATTTGCTGAGTTGCAGGTGTTGATCATCAGAGAGAAAGTTGCCGATTTATATGAGTCTGAACAGCAATGGTCAAAAGCAGCTCAAATGCTCAGTGGCATTGATCTGGACTCCGCCATGAGGTCTGTGAGTAATCTTTTTTGTTTTTTTAGTTATTCAACCAGATTTACTTTTACACATTTACACACCCTTCAATATATAATTATTTTGTTTTAACTATTGTTTTATCTGTGTCAGAGTGATTGACGATACATTCAGGTTGTCGAAATGTGTGAAGATTGCTAGCCTATACCTTGAGGTATATTTTGTTATGTATTTTTAAACGTACAATCTTCTAAAATTGACAAGATGCCACATGTGTTTCTAAAATTAACCATTTTTCACATTATCTCTCGTTAATACAGAAGAATAGTTTTAATTGTCATATTTAAAGCAGATTTATTATGTCTAGTTTATGGTAACGTTGTCGAGTGAGGTTATTGCCAGCTGAGGCATCTCTGTCTCCTTTGCACCATCATTATGTTTTTAATGCAAGAATTAAGAATGTTAATCTGAAGTACCGTAAATTTGAATTGCAATTGGTATTCAATACTCTGGTTGCTTATTTGGCAGGACGATGATGCTGTAAATGCAGAAGCCTTTATTAATAAAGCTTCATTCTTGGTTAGCAACAGTCAGAATGAAGCATTGAATTGGACGTACAAGGTTGGCACCTTGCAACAGTTTGGGAGGATTATTGTGTTGAAATTTGGAAGCTTTATCATTTTTGCTGAACATTTTGTTTTCTGTTTCCTTACCGTCAGGTTTGTTATGCAAGGATTTTGGATTTAAAAAGGAAGTTCTTGGAAGCTGCACTCCGTTATTATGATATTTCTCAAATTGAGAAACGGCAAATCGGAGATGAGTATGTACAGGAACAAAGATTCAATTTATTTTTGTAAAATTGCTTTCTATTGGTGTGTATTTTCCCCTCCTTTTTTTCTGGATGTGCAAGTGAACCCATGTGGGGAAGTGTTGATTTTGTCTTTGTTTTCCAAGTTGAGATAATTCTTATTATGTTTATTTCCTAATTGTAGGAAAGAATTCTGCTGAATGGCACGCACTATACTCCCTACTGTCTGCACTTAGTTCACAACTAGGTTCTTTCACTTTAATTTGGAGATTCTTTCCTTTTATTGTATTGCAGAGTCATTAATGAGGAAGCTCTGGAACAAGCCTTATCTGCTGCAGTCACATGTACGATTTTGGCTGCTGCAGGTCCTCAGCGTTCTCGCGTTCTTGCAACCTTGTACAAAGTAAATATTTTCACTAGATGAATAGAAGCTAGGTTTGAGAAATTAATCTGCATTATTGCCTCTCGATTGCTTCTTTTCAATAACTTGGTATTAGATGCGTATTTCATGTATCTTGAT